AACCGCTCCCCAAGCTTCAGCTACTGTCTTTATCTGCCCTGATAATAGACCGAAACCATATTCTGCTCCCTGTTGAACAATCAGTGCCTGGCCTCTGTGAGCCTGCCAGGATGGCAGCAGCCCAGGGTGGTGCTGGGCACTGCTCCAGCTGACACAGGCCAGCCAGCCCTGGGAAGCCTCAGCCAGGTGGGTAGCCGCCAGCCTGCAGACCACCCACACACACACAGGGATGTCCACTCATCCAGGGGTCCTGAGTGCCCATATAGGGCACACATGCAGCTCTCAGGATGGATCTTGGGAACTAAAACTTGAGCTTATGGTTCATTCATCTTTATATCCCTAGTACCAAGCATGGTGCCTGGCATACAGCTGGAGCTCAGTGGTGGAAATTCATGTACTCAGCACCCATTTTTCAGGACCATGTGCAGGTAGCTGTGTCCTCTCCCTCCCCACCCTTCTATCTCCTTTCAGCACCTGTTGGGGCTCTTCTGATGCAGTAAGATGTGGGGAGTCTCCAAGGAGGCCATGGGAGGCTAATCTGGGGCCAGTCCTGCTCTCTGTGTCTTAGGGACAAAGGAAGAGGAAGTCCTTCCATGTGTCCCCATTCCCCAAATTAGTACTCAGGCGTACAAAAAGTGCTCACAGGTGACCTGATTTCATCTCCCCAGCGCTGCTCAACAGGCCTGGCACCCTGCACCTCCATTTTTCAAGAGGTGTGAGATTTATATGCAGATCTTCTACCTCCAAATGCAGTCCCCAGGCTTCCTCATAGGGATTTGAGTCTTAGCCCAGAGTTAAGCTTTTGGGAGAAGCTGGGAGGAGATAGGGGCTGGGAGCTGGGAGGAGTTGGGGAGGGATGGACCAGGGAAGGGTAGCAATGGTGGGTGGGGTGAGGAGCAGAGGGATCAAGGATCAGGGCTGGGCCCTTGGTCTGAGCACTGATGGAGCAGGACCGGCCAGTGGAAATCTGATGACCTCAGCTCCTCTCCGAGGTGCCATGTTGCCTCCTGAGTGGGCAAACAGTGCTGGGCGAGATTGGGGACTAATGAGTGTTTTCTAGAGGGCGATTCCTCTATGTGCGGTTTATCTTCTGGGTCATTGTTCTGCAGTCTGCACTTAGCAGGTAATAGCAGCCTGGTCTGGGGCTCCTGCCCACCCTCTGGCCCCGGGGCCTGCAAACAGATGGCAGCAGATGAGGGAGAGGAAGACAGGAAGAAGCTGAGCACGTGCCCTGGCCCTGCCCTACCTCCTTATCTCAGGTCACTGCAGGTGTGTGGACCCACAGCCATGCAGGTGGCTCTCCTCATGCCAGTGCCTCGCTGCCGCCCAGATCCAGGGTCCCTCACAGACACCCACACCCCGTCCCAGTCCTTACTTACTTGGCCGTGAGCCCCTGCCCAAGCCCCAGAGACCACCTCTGCAGCCCTTCACCCACCTTTCTCCTGCAGCACAGGTTCCTCCTTTATCCCCAGGAAGCTGAAAAAGGAGAAGGCAGTACCCTTGATCCAGAACATTCCCCTCTTCACGCCCCCCCTCCCCCAGCGTGAGGCACAGTGCTCCATGTTCAGGGGGCTTTCTAACTCCCCATGACCACTCATGTGGAAGGAGTTATTTCTATGTTACAGATGAAGATGCTGAGACTCTAGGAGGTTAAATGACTTGTCCAAGTTCACCCAGTGTGTGGTAAGCAGAATAATGGACCCCCAAAATGTCCATGTCCTGATCCCCCTAGAACCTGTGACTATGTTATCTTACATGGATTTTACCAATGTGATTAAGTTAAAGATCTTGAGATGGAGAGACTATCCTGAATTATCTGGGTGGGCCCAATGAAATCACAAGGGTCCTTCAAATGTGGGAGAGGGAGGCAGAAGAGTGATGTGAAGTGAGAAAGTCTTGACTGACCATTACTTGCTTTGCAGATGGAAGGGGAGCCTAGGAAGGGGAGTGGCTTTTAGAAGCTGGAAAAAGGTGGGGACGTGATCTTCTTCTAGTACCTCCAGAAGGGCACACTCTTGCTGGTACCTTGATTTAACCCATTGAGATGCATTTTAGACATCTGACCTCCAAACTGTAAGATAATGCAACTCTTGTTTTAAACCACTAAGTTCATGGTGACTTGTTATAGCAGCAATAGGGAACTAATACACCCAGCTAGTGGCGGAAGTAGGATCTGAACCCAGGACTCAGCCTCCAGTCCACTCCCTTCTACCTCACCCAGCTAATGACTATGCTCTGCCCACCACTCTAGGCTGCCTCTCTTCCTGTCTCCTGCCCACATTTTCTGAACTGGAAGCTGAGGGTGGGAGGGAAGATTCAAAACTGAAACAGAGGCTAGATTTCAGGTACTCTCTTCTTCTGACCTCAGCTTCCCCTTCCAGTCTCTCCCCTACTGGGAGTGCTCAAGGGTTCTTAGAAACATGCCTAGAGCAGCCCATTTCTTGTGAGGAGTGTCAAGGGAGGCAGGGCATGTGCTAAACATTAGGATTCGGGGTGCAGAGGGGCTTAAGTGTTAAAACTAACATTGTCCTTACTTTTAGTGCAGGCACAGCCTGCCTGCTTCTGCACTCTGTGTGGTTTCTCTTTCCTGGGTGAGGGAACTTCGAAGCAGGGAGTGGGTGGGACTGGAGTGGGCGTCTGAGAGTCTTTCAGCTCTGGGGCCCCTGCCGGTCTGCATGTCTCTTAGGGCAGGGGAGGTGTCTGTGTTTGGGTACCTGGTTGTGGAAGGTACCCCGCTCCCCTGGCGTGTGTGGGGTGTCTTTGGGCAGTGTGTCTGTCCAGCCTGTGTGTGTGTATGTGTNTTAGGACAGGGGAGGTGTCTGTGTTTGGGTACCTGGTTGTGGAAGGTACCCCGCTCCCCTGGCGTGTGTGGGGTGTCTTTGGGCAGTGTGTCTGTCCAGCCTGTGTGTGTGTATGTGTGTGAATGTGTGTCTACTCACACTTTTGTTTGTGAGCGTGTAGACATGTGAATGTGCGAGAATGTGTCTCCTTTCTACTCTGCGTATGTAAACGTGTGAGTGAGANAGGGCAGGGGAGGTGTCTGTGTTTGGGTACCTGGTTGTGGAAGGTACCCCGCTCCCCTGGCGTGTGTGGGGTGTCTTTGGGCAGTGTGTCTGTCCAGCCTGTGTGTGTGTATGTGTGTGAATGTGTGTCTACTCACACTTTTGTTTGTGAGCGTGTAGACATGTGAATGTGCGAGAATGTGTCTCCTTTCTACTCTGCGTATGTAAACGTGTGAGTGAGAATGTGCCCTCTGCCAGCCTGAGGGGGGTGAGCTCGGCTCCCTGCACCCCGCCAGCATTGCCTCACCCCTGTGACACAGCCGCTAATGACTGTTTGCCATTGTCTGTGCAGCAGTGGCATCACCTGCGCTAATGACAGTCTCTCTGCCTAATGACCTGTCTTCTGCCCCATCATTTAGAACCACAGGAGCACTCTGAGCCTGTGGCCAGAGAGACGTTGACGAGCTCAACACATTTCCCGCTGGGGTGCCAGTGGGGGTGGGGAGAAGCATAAACCCTACCTCCCCCACAGCCCTCCGGGTGCCCCCGTGTGCGCTGGGAATCTCAGCTGGCTGATGGCATTCCTGGGCGGGAGCTGGGGTCTAGGCGCTGCCTCCGTCTCCGGTGCAGCTGGGTGGCTGCTGCCTGGGCTGCTCTGGTCTGGGGGTGAGGGTGCTTGAGCAGCCCAGGAACTCAGAGTCCAGGGCAAGCCACCCTGTGTGGACAAGCCACCACTGAAGCCTCATTCGCAGACCCTACAAACACGTTTTTTATTATTGAAAAGAAGATAAAATCGCCTTCTTGACTCTGAAGGAGGAGCTCAGGAGGGGCTGCTGGTCCCTTTCTACCAGTCCGCAGCACTTTGTTCGGCTCTCATAGATTTGAAACTACTCCATCCTACTGGTGTTTCCTATCAACAGGCTTGCCTCCTCCTACCGTAAGTTGATCTAGAGAAGCATATAAGCCTGGCATCCGCCTAGTGCAGTGGGGACTCACTGAGGTTTCCCTTGGAACCAGCTGTGCGACCTGGGAGTGATTTGCAACTATGTGTTCTGCTAAATGGGGCTGCAACAGTGCCTGCTCAAAGCTGATTTACATATACCAACTCTAGGCTTTACCACTCTCTCCAAGCGGTTTTCTTATTGTGACCATTTCACAGAGAGGGAATCAAGGTCCAGAGCACTTAAGTACTCCATGCAGTTAGGAAGTACAAGAGCTGAGGTTCAACCCCAGGTCCCTCTCTTCCTGCATCCTGCTGTAGCGGCTGGGGAAAGGCCGAGTGTATTGGAGAGACAAGCCATTGGCACTCAGCCTGGTTCCGGAGGCTGGGAACAGGGCGCCCATTCTCAGTAGGGTTTGCAGTGCTCCAAAGGGAGAAGCTCCCCTTGAAGAGAAGCTTATCTCTTCCAGGTGCTCCCCAGAGACTCCTGCCCTGATGCGTCCTTACCTGAGGCCTCCCTGGCAGCCAGGCAAGAACTAGAACATGTGGGGAAGCTTGCTCACTGTTGGGAGTTTCTTCAGTTGCTTGATTATGAAGAGGAAAAAAAAATTGCAGGAAGAGAGATGTGACTTAGATTCTAGAGTCTTCTTTGGCACTCCTTAAGGGCAGGGACTAATCCTCTAGCAAAATGGGTTTAATTAACACTGGGGACTCTCACGACAGCGATGACCATGGAAGATGTGGCTTTATGAGAACATTTGCAAAATGACATACAAACAAAGGCACAGGAATATAGGGAAAACTCTGGACCTGAGTGCTGAGGGGACGCGGCATAAGCAGTGCTAAGAGCTGGGTGGGGTTGACTGGGGGAGGCTTCCTGGAGCAGGGGGGTGTGGAGTGGATTGGGGAGGGGCATGTTTCCTTGGGGTAGGAGCAGACAGGAGAGCAGCAAGCACCTAGCATCCCAGCGGCAGCATTCCTGAGCCCTGGCTCAGTGACCTGGTACTCTGGGAATTTGCCCTGCCTCCTGGGTGGGGACTGTCCAGCCACACACTTGCCTAACCCCCTTGGTGCCACTAGGCAATGACATGGAAATTCGGCAGGGTCTTGAGTCAGGTCCTCCTCTCTTGGGTGTTTGGCCCAGTTTGGCCTGTGGTCCATTCAGGTGTCTTCTCTGCGGGGTGTCTGTGGAAAGAGATTAGAGAGGAGGGGGGGCGCTGGGGGAGCAGGAGAAGATTTGGAGAAATGGAGGGGAATGCTAATAAGGCCTGCTGCCTCCCTGAAGGGGGTCAGGGTGCCCATAAGGTGGACTAAGGGCCCACAGTTGGCCTGTCGTGTGCTTGGCTGCTGCAGGGCTGGGCCTGCCTGGGTCTAGGGCAGTGGAGAGAAACCTCGGATGCTCAGAGCTCCTGAGCAGGAAGGGCCCTCAGTTGCCCTGCTTCCTTCAGACAGGGACCTGGAGGGCTAGGAGTCTTGAGGGGAGGACAGAGTTTATGTGAGGAAAGAGAGTGAGGTGGGGAGCAGAAAGGGCGCCTGAGGGACAGAGCTCCAGGCCCGAGCTGAGGGTTTGCCTTTGAGTCAGGAGGCAAATGGAGCCCCTGTGGTCTAGCAGGGCTTCTGACTGAGCCCCTGGATGCAGATGGCTCTTCACCCTGGGAGCACGAGGCCTGAGGCCCAGGCCTCCCACCAGGTCTCTTGTGCTGAGTTCTTAGAACTGCAGCCGCTCCAACCAGAGCTGGGTGATGGGCTTTCCTCCCCCAGCCATGGATTTTGTGTGTGTTGGGGGAGGGGAGCATCTGGAGAGGGCACCCTGGGGTGGCTGGGGAAGGAGGGCTTAAGGATCAACACGCAGTAGGACTTTGGGACTGGGGTGGACTCCTGGTCTGTCCTCACCTCTAGGGACGCCCTGAAACTGGGACAGTGGCGTCTATTTGGGGACTCATAGTCATTTTATAACTGACATTTAGATGCGTGCCTGCAGCAACCTCAGGAATGACAGTATTTGGCCATTCGTCCCCGGCCTGGCAATCTCTCCATGCTTTAAATTGAAAACAACAGCATCTCTCGGAGCCAGTAGTTTGGAGCAGAGAGACACTGAAAGAGAGGAGGCAGAGGCTGAGCCTTGGAGAAGAGGGACCCTCTCTTCCCCTCCTTTGGGGAGAGGTAGACAGTGGAACGAAGCTTCTGGGTGGCATGAAGGGGCCTGGGAGTGGGAGCCTAGATGGTGGGTCACTAGCCAAAGGCCATATGTGGGGGTCAGAGGGACCTCAAGTCTGAGCCCTATGGGGATGACTCTGTTGTTGGCCCTCACATCTCATCCTTGGGCTCTGTGCCCAGGCCTTGCTGTCAGCACCTGCTCCCTGAGCCAGCACCTGGCAAACGCAGCCATGAGATCATGGGGCGGGGTAAGTTGGCCGGCCCCCCATCTCTGCTGGAGCTGTGGCAGGTGCATGGCAGAGCTCGGGCCTGGCGCCTCTGTAATCTCCCTCCTGGCCCCTTCCAGGGAGGCGGCTTCTCCAACCTACCAGTGTGGTCTCGTCCACCTCAGTCCCCAGACTCCAGTGAAGGTGGGGAGTCATGGAACGAAGGCTTGGGATTAGATTTCAAGAAGGACTTCCTACTCAAGGGATGGGATGGTGGGATAAGGGAAGGGGGAGTGAAAATTAAGGATGCATGTTAGTAATCACTGCAGCACTCCTTACTGAGGGCTTGTCCTGTGTCCTGTTCTGTGCTAAGTACTTTGCAGGCAGTTCCCTTGTAATCTTCACAGTGACCTTGCAGAGCACGAAAACTCAGGCTAAGGTTTCATAGCCGGTAAGCAGGGAAGCTGCTCCGAGCACTCGAGTCTCCAGCTCTGGTATAAATCTTGAGGTGTGGGGAGGGGGGCCACTGGAAGGCCATGTGCTCCCTCCCTTCATTTAGCATCCAGGGGTGAGCGAGACAGGGCGCTTGAGGGCGAGAGCTGGAGGCTAAACAGGAAGAAACGATAAGTGATACGCGGTGAGTTCATGTTCCAGGGGTGGAAGTCGGTCACGCGGAGTGGGTGGGCTTGTTTCTGTTTGACACATCTTGAGTCAGGAAGGAAGCAAGTACATCAGACCCGCAGCAAGAGGGAGCAAGGTGAGGCTGCAGACCTGACTTCCCGGGCTGCATGTCATGTCACCTGAAGGGCACGTTCTCTCGAGAGGGAGAGTAGTTTGAAGGACTCAGTCTGGAGGTGGGGAGATGGACCACCTGATTTGGGGGTCTTCGTGTATGTATTTGTGTGTGTGTGTGCACATGCACCCCTAGGTGTGTCCACCATCTCATGATGCATTTTCATCCCAGCTGGCTGTGACCTCTCTGGCAGCACCTGTTGTATCTTAGGCACCCATAGGTTCCCTTGCTGATGGTCTGTAAGGCACTTTCTATTTGGGTGCAGTGCTGCCTTGACTGGGGGGGCCCTTCTTGTTTTCCAAATGTCCTCCAACTTGGCAGACCACTTATTCTAGTCCTGATATGCCTTCTTTTCCTCGCAGGAAGTTTCCTCTGCCCCTTATCCAAGGACCCCCATTCTTATCCCCTTTCCTGAGGATGAACTGGGTCTAGAATTTTAGCTGGGGGTGGATATACCCTATCCCTTCCCCATGAGCCCACAACTCCACCTTGACTCACTCACCCCTGTGTTCCAGCTTCCATGGGACTGGCCCCACTGAGCAAGTCCCCACATGCTTATAGCAAGAATGTGGCGACGAGGGCTGCCTGGATGACTCCTGGCGTGAAACCGGGGCCAGCCCTCGGGTGTGCCCTGTCAGGTGCCATGCAACTGCTGGCTCCTGTCTGCTCTTGGTGTGCAAACTTGTGCCCCATGTCAGCAGGTTTGGGGTCAGATCCTGTGTTTCATGACGTGGTGGCAACGGACACAGAATCCTAGGATGTCAGTGCTGCAGGGAACTCCAGAGACCGTCAAGGTTCATACCCTTCATTTACAGAGAAGGCACCCCGCAGAGAGGAGAGGCCTTTGCCCAAGATCACACAGTATTTTGGGGACACTGTGAAACTCCTGACCCTGTCCCACAGCCCTTTTCATCATGGCACATCGACAAGCTTCTCTCTTCCGCTCTTTTTTCTCTTGTCGCTGCTTTTCCCTTGCTTCCCTCTCTCAAGTTCACATCTCCAGGCCCTGCCAGTCCTTGAGGCCTAGACTGGCCCTTCTCCCATCCGTAACTTACCTGAGTCCTCTCCTCTGCCTTCTTCTGCACCATTAACAGCATGTCCTGCTAATTCTCAGTCCCTAATTGTGTGTAACACAAATTAATGCTTTATTACTTGATGCTCTAATGACCTGGGTTCTAACCAGGCTCAATTGCTGCATGACCTTGGGCTACTTACTTAACATTCTTAATCCTCTGTGTTTCTCATCTGTAAAATGGGCAGTCGTTTCAGACTGAGTGAACAGCAGAAGCTAAGCTCAGAGGGCTCCACTTGGAAAATGGCAAGATTGAAATCTGAGGCATGGTGGGTGTGGGTGGGGGTGACAGCGGAAAGGCAGGCCGGGGCCAGATGGTGGGGGCCTCAGTGGGAGAGGTTATGCTATTGGCAATGCGGATCTCTCAAGGCATTTTTGGAAGGGAAGTAATAACCCCCCACCTAGAGTTTGGGGCGGCCAAAAAATGGGATGGAAAGGGTATGGGCTTTGGAGCTGGCAGGTCTGGATTCGCATTTCGGCTGCACCACAGTTAGCAGTGTGATGCTGTGCAGATTGCTACACTTCTGAGCTTCCTTCTTCAATCTGTAAAATAAAGATTATATCTACCCCACAGGCTTATGGGAAGGATGAACTGAGAAAGCATCTATAAATAGCTTAGCTTGGAGTCTTGCACTTAGTAAATGCTTAATGAGGGGTAGCCATTATTACTGGGCTGCTTTTGTCATCCAAGAGCACCCATCTGCCTGCCTCTTGGCCTGGCTTTGTCCCTGCGTTTGTCTGGGGCATGAGTGACAGGCTCATTCCTCACTTTCCAGTTAGGAGATTTTTAAGGGCAGGGCTTACCTGCCTCGTCCCCCTGCTCTAGCTGTTCTGGGAAGTGAAGGAGCTGGGAAAGCTGTTGAGAGGGTGATGTCATGCTTTGGGGTCTCTGGGTGGCCCTGCAGAAGCTCCAGAGACCTGCAGGTGGGTGGTGGGAGGGGGTCCAGGCCCTCTTGGCCAACCATTGGCCCTACAAGGCATGCAGGGAGCTCTGTGACAACAAGGTGTTCCCCCAACCTTCTAGCTGGGCCATCAAGCCAACTTCCAGGGATAGTCCTTGGGGCTTCAGGCACTGTGGTGGCCCTGCTACAGCTTGTGAACCTGTGAAGAGGGGCAGGAGCAGTGCTCAGGATGGGAGCAAGGGAGTGAGGGCTGAGGGAAACTGAGTGCCAGCCACCCCACGGAGTGTCTCCTTGGCCAGCACTGGTGGAGAGGGGAGCCAGGCACACCATCGATGAAACTTAGAGTCTAGCCCTGGCTGGGTGGCTCAGCTGGTTGGTGTTGTCCCATATACCAAAAAGTTGTGGGTTCGATTACTGGTGAGGTAACATATCCAGGTTGCAGGTTTGATCCCCGGATGGGGTGTGTATGGGAGGCAACCAGTAGATGTTTCTCACTTACATCAATGTTTCTCTCTTTCTCCCTCTCTTTCTCTCTAAAAATCAATGAAAATAAAACATATCCTTGGGTGAGGGGTAAAAAAAAAGACTTAAGAGTCTAATAATTATTAGATGATGTTTACAAAATACCTACTAGGAGCTGAGCAGTTGTCAGGTGCTGAGGGTCATCACTTGGCAAAGACTGACTGGGTCCTTCGTGCATGGCGGGAATTCGGACAGGCATTTGGAGGGGCACGCACATTGGGTGACAGGATCTCTGGGGGCTGTGCCCCCCCCCCCCAGTGGGGACCTGAAGAACCTGCAAGCCTTTGTGTGGTTATAGAGCAGACACTGTGGTTGGACAACACTGGGAGTGTTGTGGGGGACGGGAGTGGGCAGAGATGAGGCCAGAAAAGTACACAAGGGTCTTGAATGCCAGAGTGAGGAGTGTGCACCATGTCTCAAAGGGAGGTGGGGACCACTGAGGGTTTTCAAGCTGGGAGGGACATGGTCAGATGCCGGGCTGTGGCACTTTGGGAATAAAGAAGGGTGGAGAATGGCATAGTCTCACTCCAGGCTTCATGGAAGGGAGAGATGAGGGGTGGAATGCTTCTGGAGACAGAGAAGGGGTGGGATGACTGTGGAATGGGTGTGTGATCCTAGAGCCGAAAGTTGAGGTGGGCCTGCAGGGTGGGAGGGCTGGGCCTCCACTGGGAGGGGGTTGGAGCCCAGGCAGGAGTGTAGGTGGGATACAGGGCAGGCCTGGAGGGGGCAAGCGAGACACAGGCCTCAAAGTCTGGTCTGCTCCACAGGCACCCAGACAAGAAAGGCCTCAGTGATCCCATCTGAAAAATGGAGAGCTCAATGCCTTTCTCCCTGCCACTCGAGTTTCTGATTAAGGAACAGTCACTGTTCCCCAATCTGAACCTGAGTTCTGGGATACAGAAGCCAGGAAAGGCAGAGCCTGTGGCCCAACAGGCCCCCGCTGGCCACAGAATTGCCCCAGGTGGGCTGCAGGCATGCTGACCAAGCTCTGGGGGCTCTGGGAGGGGCTGGAGGGACTGGGTTTTGGGAGCGTGTCCAGGGTGAAGAGCTGCTGAACAAGGTCTTGGGCCCAAGGCCCCCTCACCTCCTCTGTAATCTGCTCTCTCAGAGCCTTCCAGCTCACCAGGCCTACCATCCAATCCTGTGAGAGAGGGTCCAGGCCCCCAGGGCCGGGAGGACAGGGAAGGTGGGTGACGGCTTAGGCACAAAGGGATGAGAACCCTGGGCTCACCCAGCTCTGAGAGTCTCTACATCTTTGCATTTTACAGCTCATCTTCCAATTCTACAGAGCCCTGAATAGGCGCAAATAGGCCCACAGCTGAGTGAGTGGGGTAGAGAGATGCTCATACCCCAGGGGTCCCCTGCTCCCAGGCACCTGCCACCGGGGTCTTGTTGGAAGTTGTCCTTATGTGGGTGTCAGGCAGGTGGCAGAGTGGGGTTCGCCAAGGTGCTGAGGCCAAGTACATCCCTCAGGGACTGCTACCAGTGGGGGCAGGGGGGAGGGTGGTCCAGTCAGCCCAGGAGACAGAAGGGAAAGGGTTCCCACCGCTATGCCTCCCACCCATGGGCTCCTGTTACTGAAAAAAGCGATCTCTCAGGCGTGTCACACTGTCCCCTGCATTCTCTCCCCTGCTTGTCTTCTGCCTCCTTTCTCTCACTCCCCTCCCTTCCTCCTCCCCTCTAAAGTTTCCTTTAATCTCTGGCCCTGTCTTTTCCATCTCCCTCCATTCCTTTCTTCTCCTCTCCCCCACTCCTTCCGGGCCCCTCTGTTCGCCCCCAGTGCCTCACCTTCCCTCCGGTTCTCCTTCCCTCACTAGCCCCCACTCAGGCTCCTTCAGTCCAGTCGCCCCTTCCCCTCCTGGAGCGGGAGGTCACCCCACACACTGCAGGGAGGCCGGGCTGCCTTCTCTCCAGGTTGTGTCTCTCCTCCCGATGACTGGCTGGGCCCCAGCCTGAGGCCCCAGGGTGCCACCTACTGCCTCAGGTGGTGGGAGGACTGTGCCCAAGGACTGTCCTTCAGAGCCCTGGCTGGGACCGCCTGCGGGCTGGGCAGCGGCCCCTGGAGGTGAGGCCTGGGATCGCAGCCTCCTGCCAGTCCCCTGCCTCCCTGCTCATGTTCCCACCCAGGCACCATGCAGGTCCACCTTGTCGAGGGTGTACATGACTGTGTGAATGGTGTGTGGATACTTGGGCATAGTATGTCATGCATGCACACATGTGTGTGCCTGGTGCGGGTGTGTGACAGGTGTCCATGTCTGTGTCTGTGAGTGTAGAGTACACACGAGTGTGTGAATGGCATGTGGGCTCAGCAGGCTTTTGCCTGTATAAGTCCTTTGTACACCTGTGAGTGTGTACACACAAGAACACATATGGTAGTGGAAAGGCACCTGTTTCTGGGGATACCTGGAGGAGCTTGAGGGCTCTGCTAAGTAGGAGCTCATCTGTACCTGGGACACCAGTGAGCAGGGGAATAGCATGGGGACAGCTGGCTGTGTGTGCAAGGGATTGAGGGGGCTGCGAGTATGTGCATGGGCTGCTCTCACTACCTGAGACAGGCTCATGTGTACACGTGTGTTTTCACTGTAGTGTGGGGGATAGGAGACCCCAGGAGGGTGACCATTTGGGTCTGCGATGCCATAGTCACATGTGAGTAGTACAGAGGGCCTGGGAGAAGCTGTTTTTGTGTACGTGTGGAGACGAGTCCTTCTAGGCCAGGGGTGGGGCTGGGCTGAAAGTAGAAGTAGTTAGTGATTTATAGCTTTTAAAGAAATGCCACAGCCCCCAGTTGGGCCCCAGACACAGGGAGTCACATGCATTGCTCAGCAGCCAGACAGCTGAAACCACAGGAACAAGAGGAGGCTGCCTCCTTCACCTGCCCACCCACCAAAGGCCAAGGCCAGTGGGCAGCACCCACAGCTCTTGCCCTGGAGCACCTGCTGGGTGCAGGGGCACAATGCCCAACTGATGCCCCAGTCCCAACCAGAGACCCCTCCCCAACCACTGAGGCAACAGGCCAGAAGGCAGTGGAACACCCGTCTCTGCCTTGGTGGCCGTGGGGTGTCCCCTTTCCCAGCTAAGCCTGGCTCCTCCAGGAGAGCTGAGTGGGCTTCCTGCAGGCTGCCGTCCAGGACTAAGCAGCCACATGCAGAGTGTAAGAAGCCCCCGATAAATGCTATCTGGAGGAATAAGTGAACAAATGGTGGTTCCCAGCAGTGGTGCCTGGCCCAGGGGGTTTCCCGAGGGTAAGGGGGTAGCTGTTCTTCGTGCTGGGAGATTTGAATTCACCTCTGCATGACTGTCTCTGAACTTTGCTTTCCTTCTTTCTAGAAAAGAGAAGAAATCCCCCCCAGAGTCATTATACTAATGAAATGTGGCGGTGTGCCTGGTACCTGGCACATGGTAGGTGCTCAGGAAGCGACAGGTAACTACTCCTTGAGGGCTGACAGCTGCTCTGAGCCCCTTCAACAGCTACTCCTAGACCAGCTCTGAGTCAGCTGCTGCAGGGCAGCAGGAATCCTCAGGTCCCATTCTGGAAGCATGAGTCAGACCCAGGTCAGGGAGGAGGGAGGTCACACTGGGGTCAGATGCTGGACCCAGGTAAGAGTAGACACATGCCTGGTCGCCACCTTATCATGATACTGTTCCAGTAACTGGATCTCAGGAGGTGGGAAGGCGAGGCTCTGAGGCTGAACTGAGCACCCCAAGTCTGTGGGCTGAAGGTGTTGTTGACACAGGCTCTGTGATATCTAGATGCTTTTCAGATAGAACAACCTGAAAAGGGCCCGGGATGCCCTAGAAGGCTTTGCTGCTGCTGCTGCTGCTGGGGCAGGACCTTCAGCCAGGGGCTAGGCCCAACCTGGGGACTCCCTCATCTTCATCAGAGCTCCTGAATCCTTCTTGCCAGGCTCAGAGCCCCATCTTGGTTTTTGAGAACCTCTCTTATTTATCTAGATTCCAGTTGTCTCCAGTGAGGACCCAGATGAGCTTTTCTAGGCTTTGGTGAACATCTAAGACATGGAAATTCCTACTCTGAACTCTCCCACACCCCTGACTGGGCAGGGGGTCTGTCCTTCCCTATTGCTATAAATTGTGAGTGTTCAGCACAATGGACAACACCTGAGCCTGGGGTGGGCCAGGGTAGGGATGAAGGTCTCTGTACCTTGCAGTGATCAAGATTTTAGCCCCAGTGCACAAATCTTCAAAGTCTGGCTTCTTATTTTTGGGAGCCATCACTTCTCTGGAGCCAAGAACTTATTGGTTTCTTGGGACAGATAATTAAACACACCATTCTAGACATTCACATACGTGATATGATTTAGGATGAGGTGCTTCAGAGGGCCTTTGCTGGTAGAAAAGTGGAGGGAAGTGGTGTGGTGATGGGGCTTATCTCTGCCGCCCAGGCATGCAGAAAAAGTTAATAGAACACACACACACACACACACACACACACACACACACACACACACACACACACAGAGACATGCACAAATCACTCAGTGAGCATCTGCTATGGACCAGTCCTTATTAGGAACTGGGAGGGAGTGGATGAAAAAGTGTGACATGAGGTTGACTGCATGGCTCTCACCTTGCAGCAGCTCACAGCTGCACAGAGCAGATAGGCGTCGACAAACATTTATTTCTTTTCTATGCTTGGAATTTGCAGAACTATCTCAGGGAAAACATGAAACTTGTTCAAATATGCAAAAAATGAAGCAGCAGCTTGGTTGGGTGAGAAAAAACCAAATCACATAAACCTTCAGTGACCCACCCTTGGAACACTGGCTCCCAGGGCAGCCCTCTCCTGGTTCTACCGACGGCTGTACCAGAAGGGCCCTGCTGGCTCCTGCTGGGACACAACACCAGGGGAATGGCAAAGACGCCCAAGGTCAACAGAGTTTGGTGACTTTTTGTGGATTAAATGTATATTTATGTATCAACAATGTGACAATGCCAGAAATCAAAGCCTGTCCTCTCTTCCCTTCTCTTCCCTGAGCTCCTCCTTTTCAGAGCTTTGGGGCCTGAGGAGACAGGCTTGGTGCCAGTGGGGTGTCCTGGTTTGCTTTTCCTCCTACCCCAGGCCCCAGAGGCCATAAGCTTCCAACTTTCTCCTGAGTGCTCAGTGCTGAGGTTCCTCGTGGAAGCTGTGGCCTCGAGCCCACACCCGGCCCTCCCTGGCCCGGCGTCTGATCGCCTGGACAGAGAGCTGCTCGCCCAGTCCGCACCTGGCAGTCTGTCCCTGGCTGTCAGGACGAACAGGTTTGGCTGACCAAACTGGCAGTGGCCTTCGCTTTTAGTGAGATAACAAAAGAGTCAGAGCTTTTGGCCACAGCTGAAATAAACCTTTTGGACTTTATTTTCTTTTGAATCATCTCTAACTTACGGAAAAGTGGCAAAAATAGTACAAAGGACTTTTTCTTTCAGAACCATTTGATGTCCCCTCCCCCCAAACACTTCAATGTGCATTCCCTACCAACAAGGACATTCTCTCTCACTTAACCACATTACAGCCATCAAAATCAGGAGATTAATATTGATACGTGATTGCCATCTAACCCTCAGACCCCATTCAAGCTTTACTTGTTTCAATAATGTCTTTTACAGCAAAAGCATCCAGTTCAGAATCCTGGGCTGTCGCATTTGGTAGTCGTGTCTTCTGCGTCTCCTTTAGTCTGGAACTGTTCCTCAGCCTTGATTTTCGTGACCTGACACTTTCGAGGGTGATAAGCCAGTTGTTTTGCAGTATGTCCCTCAATCTGAGTTTGTCTGATGTTCCCTCCTGATTAGATCCAGGTCATACATTTTTGGCAGGAAGACCACGGAAGTGATGCATGTTTTCCCTAGTGCGTCCTGTGGGGCAGGGCACGGTTTCAATCTGTTCCACCGCTCGTGGTGTTAACTTTGATGACTTGCGATGGTGCCTGCCAGGTTTCTCCACTGTGAATTACCCGTTTCCTCTTTGTAATGAAAATGCGTTTTGTGGAGAGACACTCTGAGACCATGTAAATATCTGGATCCTCATCAGACTTTCTCCACTAGTTCTGTCCTCGCTGATGTTTCTTGGCTTAATTATTGCCGTGGTTGCCAAATCCGTTATTATTTCTATGTTTATTACTTGGCATCTTCTGCAGAGGAAACTCTTCCCCCCTTTATCTTCTTCCCATTTATGTGTTCACTCATTTATGTACATTACATAGACTCAGGGATTCCTATTTTATTCATTGTTTATTTTGGTGCTCAGGTTGTCCCAGTTTTGGCCAGTGGGAGTCCTTCAAGCCCGTTTCTGTGTTTGACACAACCCCTCCATTCTTTAACTTTCTGGAACAAGATAGTCCTGACTCATCTTGTGATTTCTCTGTCCCAGCCCTGGAATTAGTCATGTTTCCAAGGCCACTTAGTTTCTTTTAGTGGAAAATGGTATTTAGAAACCAAGGTCTCGGCACTAGGTATGTTCATAGCTTTTGAAATGTCAGTGATTTTTCCAATTCTTAAGCCAGGAACAGAATGTTGCCTTCAAGTTTTAACATTCTAGACCAGTGATTCTAAAACCTGTTCAGGTGGTGGGCAACATGGAAAAAATGAGATTTTCATGGAAATATATGATTTATTTATTGAGTAAACGTGATATTTTATAGAATCTAAGACATCTATATGGATGTGGAGAGAGGGAATGTATATACCTACTATATGTATATGTGTAATATGTACATACATTATTGAAATCTGCATATTTTATCTATCTGTCTGCCTATCTTGAAGACCACGAGTCCATACTTATACCTTCAATACCTATCCCTATCCCACACTGGCGATCCTGGTTTCCCCTTCCAATGTTCCTGTGTGTATAACAACCTCCCCTGCAGCCGCAAGCCACCCCCCACCCCTCACTGTGCCCTGGCATGGACGCCTGCTTCCCGTGGCCCCATATAACAGATTTGGGACTGAATTATGCAGGAAGGCAGGCAGAGGGGGAGGCAGGTAACATTTTGGCTATTAATGACCAATAAATAATTTCCTGATCTTTGGGCAGTTTTGCTCAAAACTTGTCTTAAAGAAGATATATGCTTTAACATTATTAAAATACCAAACTACATAACTAATATTTGAAAAGCAGAGAAAGAGAAAAGCCATCTATAATTTTACCACTTGGCTACAACCTTTGTTTAGTATTTCAGTGTATTTCCTGTCAGTCCCCACCCCCAGTGCATCAGTGCTTTTTAAAAATATAATTATAGCTATAATGTTGCTACACCTTTCCAACCTGCCCATTTACTTGAGGCAACAATAAAAACATTCACTGCTTATGAAATATCTAGTATGTGCCCGGCTCTGTATAGGTTGTTTTCGCTTCCTCATTTAATCCTTAACATAATATTGCAAAGTAGGTATTTTCCTGATATTAGAGATAAAGAAACGAAAGCTCAGGGAGGTTGTCTAAGGTTGCACTTCTAGTAAGTGGTAGAGCTAGGACGGAGCCCAAGCACCTCTGGCTCCAAAATCTGGTTCTCTATCTACCCTCCTGAAGATAAGTGTTTTCCCCATAACACACTATTCTATAACTCTGATTTTAAATGCAGATGTATTGGACAGTGGAAGTCTTTTCAAGCTGGCTTCCGTGCTTGATACAACCCCTCCATTCTTTAAGCACTTCCTAACTTTCTGGAACAAGATGGTCCTGGCCCATCTTGTGATTTCTCTGTCACAGCCTTGGAATTAGTCACTTCTCCAAGGCAACTTAGTTTCTTTTGATGGAGATGGTGTTTAGAAACCAAGATCTTGACACTAGGTATGCTCATAGCTTTTGAAATGTTGTCAGTGATTTTCTGACTCTTAAGCCAGGAACAGGATGTTTCATAACTTACTGAGACTGTTTCAGCTATGCTCCTGTTGTAGGATATGTGGGTTGCTTCCTCTCTCTATATATCTATATCTATATCCGTCTCTCTCTCTCTCTCCAGATATCTATCTATCCCTCTCTACAGATAGTTATTTCTCTCTGTATAAACAATGCCATGATGAACATCTTCATGGATATGTTTTTTTCACGAATTGTTTCCCAAAGGGTTGACCTAATTTTTTAAGAAACCCTCACCTGTTGGTATGTTTTTACTGATTTTTAGAGAGAGTGGAAGGGAGAGAGAGAAAGAGAGGGAGATAGAAAGAGGAGAGAGAGAGAAAGAAACATCGATGTGGGAGAAACAGTGATCTGTTGCCTCCCCTATGGGCCTGGCTGGGGATAGAACCTGAAATCTAGGTATGTGCCCTGACTGGGAATTGAACCCACAACCTTCTGGTGTATGGTACGACGCTCCAACCAATGGAACCACCCAGCCAGGGCAAGGGCTGACTTAATTTGAATGCCACACTCAAACAGTATTGTCATAGTATTATTTTAAAAATAACTGAGCCCAGCCGGCGTGGCTCAGCGGTTAAGCATCAACCTAGGATCCAGGCGATCAGGGTTCGATTCCCAGTCAGGGCACATGCCCGGGTTGCGGGCTGCAGCCGATCAATGACTCTCTCATCATTGATGTTTCTATCTCTCTCTCCCCATCTCCTTTCCTCTCTCTGAAATCAATAAAAGACATATTAAAAAAAAAAAAAGATTTAAAAATAACTGATACTTTAATAGGCAAAAAAGTTTTAAAATTTCATTAGCATATATTTGAATGTAAATTCTGTTTTATTCAAGAAACATTTAAGGAGTAACTGCTGTGTACCAGGAATGATGACAGGAATGGAAGATACAAAGTTATTTTTCTTGTAAAATTCAGTCAGAAATCCAACACCGGGGCATCTCAGTTAATTCAACCATGACTGGTTTAGGGGCTGTGCTGGCGAGGCCCTGAGAAAGGCTGAGGGGTGATGTGGGGCAAAAGCCAAGACAATGGGTTGACTCAGTCAGCTCAGGAAAAGTGTGATGGGGGGCAGACGGGGCTCCCAGTTGTTGAGTGCAGCAGTTAAGTTGTATCTTAGCTCCAAACCCTAACTTACATATCCTGCTTTTGGTGTGGGTGGGCTCTGCCAGCTGGCTCTGTTAGGTTCTGCCAATAGGGGGTGCCAGAGGGAGCCTGCAAGGCATTTGCTTTCTGTGGGCTTCCTTTCTGCTTGCTGTTCTGGTGAGCTTTGCCTGGCCGTGGGTCTTCCTGGCAGCAGCAGAGCCTCCTGTAGCGGCAGCTGAATTCATTTGGCAGTTTTCCCAACACCGGTGAATCAGCTTCATTGTGCCCTTC